TATGTGAAATATTACTTCTGATTTTACTACCGGTATATATAAAAAACCCGAGAATGGGTTCATCCCATATTACAAACCAGAGAAAGAAACAGAGAATCATTTCATTCTGGCACCATTCTGGCCTTTTTGTGAATATCTCTATATTCTTTGGTAGAAATATTGTACAGTTTTGGGAAATCCGTCACAGCAAGTATCAACTTCTCCATGTTTGCTCAGAGACGTACTGAGCATCCTGTCCACTCATTGGTCAGTGAATGAAACCTCCGTTGATTGATCCTCATCCGAGCAACCTCATCCGAGCAACAGCAACGAAAAGTTGAAAACATTTCAACTTCCTGGGATTGTGCCGCTGGGTCGCCTGTGCACGACACGTGCACGAGCGCAAAATTTCACATGCACGTTTTTCGCGTTTCGCCTAGTAGTAGGGAGACCTGCGATTATCGCTTAGTTGCGCATGTCTCATTGAAAATGAATGGAGGAGAGGCGATGTCGCCTACCGTGTGTCGAGCCCATACCCCTGGTGGGAGCTGGAATCGAACCCATGACCTTCCGATCATGAGGCAACCCGCTCTACCTCGTGAGCTACTGCTGCCCTACTTTAGAGGGGAGAGCAGCAGAATTTTTTTTTTAAATGAACAGCAATGGCAGAAGCTTGTTTCTCAGCTTTAGCCAATGAGCATGGAATTTACTCATGAGGATTAAATGAAATTTGTGTAAAAGGAAAAGAAAATACCACAGCAACACCACCAACATGCAACAGCACCTTACACGTTGCCATCTCGGTTTACATAAAGAGAAGTCAGTAGTTGTTACTCCTAACCAGTCAACAATCAAGGAAGAATTCATTAAACTTGTCTGGCACTCCATCCTGTTTTATAAGACAAGGGCACTCACTACCTTGCTGCAAACATGAGGCAGCATCCCTTAGTTATTTCTAAGCGGTCAGTCTGCGGTGGTAATGTGGCACGATCATGTGTTTTCACAATGATTACGCATTGGGGGTACAAGGTGGGCATTGGGACCATCTCCATTCTATCACAAACTTCCCTTTAACTTGAACATAACCTGTTTTTATGCTGATTGAAGCAACATGCTTTTCGTGAGCTGCTCCAAAAGGTGTCTGTCCTTCACAGTGAGCCGTCTGTTGATATAAGCTTCAGATCTAAAAACCAGATGCTCCACATCTCAGCGTCATTCCTGTTTGCTATCTCGGCTGATTTTTCTTTTAAAAAAAAAAGCAACCTTGACTGTTTACCTTCATTACTCATGTTTCTCCTGTAGATTTCATTCTAAAGTATGTTGGGTATGTGTTCAATCTTACATGTATAGGATGGAGGAGTAAAAGGTATCTGGCCCTCTGAGAAGGGAGTTGGGGACAACTGGTGAAAGGCAAAGCAGACCAGAAAATAACGGTCTCATCAAACCCATTCACTTACACTCATTTTGTTTGGGTCAAGGGACCCATGAGTCAACTGGAAGGAGATGAGACTTAGGCTCTTTGTATCCTAATCTCCTAACATTTAGAATTTGAAATTTTTATAACTTGTAATCCATAATTATCACAATTGTAACAAATAAAGGCTTGAAATATCTCACTTTGCATTTAATTAGTTTAGTTTTTTTAAAGAACAAGTTCACTAATTTTTTCAATACATTTGCAGTGGTCTCTTGTATAAATCAATACCTTGTGAGGTTAACTCTGTGGTAAAAAAAAAAAAAGCTCTTGCACTCTTGTTTCAGGAACTAAAGTCAGACAGAGCAGTAGAGAAAGAAAAAATTGGCAGGTTTTACAGTTTTATTTCTTGCCTTTGATTGGCCAACAGTTACACAACTACTACCGACTCTACTCACTCTGCAACATTGATGTTTTATCTCCATAAATAATAAGCATGACGGGTTTCGCCATGTTGTGGTGGTGCTGCTAATAGTTGGTTTATACCATCTGAGACATGCTCTGCTCTCTTCTGGCTGCTAATTCAACAGCCTTCCCTGCCGTGAGCCAAGATGGAAGGAAATGGGGAAGGATGAAGGAAATAGGGGTAGAAGGCTATTTTCATGTTTAGAGGGATACAGTGGCACTAAGTCAGCTTGGTCTTTAAATTAAATAACTGAATTTAAATAACCTTTCACCTGATTATAAATTTTTTAGATTCACCTGTACTATATTTTTTGAGCTAATTTGTAGGGTAGAAAAAAATTATAATATTTAATTATAAATATTTGAACCTTATTGTAGTTTTTCGTGAAAGACCAGTGGTTTATGCAATGTAAACCCTAGCATCTCACTAGAGACAACGAATCCTGGTGAAGCTAATCAGTTAGGTAGATTGCCGGCTTTTCTTGAAGACAAAAATCTGGATCACTCTAAACTTTCTGTTCTTAAATTAAGACAAGACTGAAGTTATCATCTTTGGACCAGAACTTCTAAAAAAGGAAACTGCTTAGTCAATCACCTCATTGGAACGGCATTAAATTAGCCTTTGAGAACCAACTAATGAGCCTTGGTGTTATCTTTGACCACAACATGTCATTCAAATCTCACATTAAACAGGCTTGTAGGATTTCTTTCTTCCACCTCCGGAATACTACTAAGATTAAAAACATTTTGTCCAGGAGTGATGAGGCAATAAATGCATGAACTAGTTTTTCATCAAGACTGGATTACTTTAATTAGCTACTTTCAGGAAGTCCATATAATGTAGTTAAAAGTCTCCAGCTTGTCCAAAATGTGGCAGCTAGAGTTCTGATGAGAATTAAGAGAGATCACATCTCTCCTATTTTAGCTTCCCTACATTGGCTGCCTGTTGAATTCAGAATAGATTTTACGATCCTCCTTTTCACATATAAAGCTCCTGATAATCAAGCTCCATCTTACATCAGTGATCTGATTGTTTCATATGTTTCTAACAGAGTACTTTGCTCTCTGACTGCAAGTTTACAGGTGATTCTGAGCACATCTAAAAATAAGCTGGGAGGCAGATCTTTTGGTTATCAGGCTCCTCTCCTGTGGAACCAGGTCCCAGCTTTAGTTCGTGAGGCAGACACCTTGTCCACTTTTAAAACAAGGCTTAAAATGTTTTTGATATGGCTTTTGGTTAAAATCTGAATGATATTAGCCCAGATATGGATGAGTAAAGGAGATTGAGTGTACAGAAAGGAATACAGCCGGTACAGACTGGTCTTCCTGGCTCTGCCTCCCACATGCCTTCTTCTAAAAGGCTAAGTATTATTGAGTTTTCTCTGTAGTTATGTTGCTATGAGCTTAGACTGCTGGAGGACATACTGAATACTTTACACACTCTGCTACTTTATTCTATCACTAATTTCCAATTCCATTATTTCCTGTTATTTCAGCTCTTAACTTTACATTTTCTCCAAGTGTTTTTCTTTCCAGAAAAAGCTACACTGGCATTCTGCTGAGCTCTGATACCCTCCTGGAGATGGCCATCAGCTGGCACACTACTGCCAACCACTTAACATTATCCCTCTCCTGATATTAGCTTTCTTTAACATTATAAGCTACTAATTATTAATCTGTGTGTAAGTGCGTGTTTCTGTTGATAAGTAGGTTCAATTGGAATGTTTATTTTATGACGTGCCTTGAGATGACTCTTGCTTTAATTTGGTGCTATATATATCATTTAATTTAACTGTGAGTCTATAGTAATTAGGTGAGAACAGAAAATGATACATTTTTGATGTTATCAATACTCCTGATTTGAAAACTGATTAATAATCAGTCTATAATGATAAATGTGGCAAGGAAAATCAAAAATACCTAAACTCTTTAAATAATACTTTAATTCTGTTTATACTGTGCCAATTTACAAATCTGCCCACTAGCTAAATTAGCAGGATAGGTAATTTACAAATTAGCACACCTGCAAAATGGTCAAAATGTGGTTAAATAAATTATGTGGTGCATGTAATACAAAAAATCCTAACAAGCTAATGGGCTGTTTATCCATGTTGTGTTTCAGAGTAAATAATCTATTTTCAGCAGCACCCATGCACGTCAGAAAAAGTAAACTATGAACGGATTCTTCTTTTACTACCCTGACAGCCAGATGCGTGTTTAGACAGCCCTCATCCTCCCAACAACTATATTCCTACTCTTTTCCTACAATTCAAAGGGTTATAAGCATCTAAGGACAGCTAAATAACCACATGGTTTCCCATTTATATGATAAAAAAGGTCAAGTTTTAAATAGTCGGGTAATGACTGCAGCTAGAATGAGCAATGTTTCCGCTGCAGTAAAGCATGGTATTTATCACATTAGAGTCTGTTTGATGAAGCCAAGGGAAATGTTTTCTTGCTTTGAGGGACTGCATACAGGCGACTGTTGCTGTTACAGTGAATATGTGGTGCCGTTTTAATCTGGGATCAAATTGAAAATCCCCTCCCATAAGAGTTCAGTCGAGGTCCTTCAGGCGATTAAGCAGTCTGTCTACAGAAGGGCAACCTCAAGCAGCGGTTGTAAGAAATATGAATAAATAGTCAAAACGGAAAAAGTGTAATTGTAATTCAAAACATTTAAGAAATATTTTTATACTAAAATTTATAATTTAAATATTGTTTCACCAACTTGTTTTAAGTATTACTACTCAGCCGTTCTGCCTGTCATTTTGTTCACCACACGGGACAATGACTTGCCTGTGGACTGGTAATGTGTCCGTGAAAACAGCTGGTGTGTCTGAAAGCCTACACACAGACTGAGAGGTGAAAGGGGAGAGATGGAGGGTGTGAGGGACATAACTGTGTGCCTTAAAATAGACCAGGATTGGCCCAAGTCATAGCCAGCCTGCCTGCTAGGCCACCTGTCTGGCATATGAGTGTTTCAAATTAAGTGATGTCAAGGTATGAATAAAGTTGAAAACTGGGCCATTGACTCATCCTCAAAAATATTGTGTTGCATGTTATCATCCTAACAGATCTCATAACTTGTATCATTGGAGAAACAAGTAAATGTGGAGTGAGTTGAGTCAAAGTGTTACTGTACCATCTACGGGTGATGTTTTTAATCTGTTGCAAAGTCCTTGAATATCCCTATAAGACTCCTCAATTCTGGTTATTCCCTCAGTGCCTCTCAGTTCCATTAGGGAGCGCAGGTCTTTGAGCGTGCAGTTAAACTCTCCATTGTGGTTCGCCTCCATCGTGGAGTTCTTCACTCCACTATAAGAGTTGTTTGCCATTGTCTCACTGCCACCCAAGCTTTTTGCAAAGCGCTGCTGCTTTGACTCAACAGTGGGAGTAAAAAAAAGGACAAGCTTCGTCCTAAAAAAAATGCTTAAATCCTCAAGAGTGCAAATGCGGTGATGGTTCCCATAAACAGCTGACAGGGGCCTTCAAAGGCAGCTGGAGTCACATGCCAGGTGGTGGGATAGGGATATTAAAAAACAAGCCATTATTTCCCATGGAGAGCCGAGTTCCTAGTTGTTCATGGTGACCCACAGAGCAGAAGCTCACCTCGCATGCAGATCTGAAAAAGAAGAAAAAATGTATACAAAAGTTTAAAAAAGTGAATTAACTACATTTGATTTCTTCATTATCATCAGGATGTTGCATGCTGTAATGGACACATACACACACAAAAATAAAAAAATTTAAAAAATTCTACTGACTGAGCAAATTTTAGATAATCTATTCTATACAGGATTAATGACACCGACAAATATAAACATGGATATTTCCAAATCCCTGTACACATTCCTTAACCATTCTGTTCAATGAGTTACTAAACAAACTACTTTTTAAATAAAGGTTTATTTCATATCCAAACAGCTCTAAGTATATTTTTCATTTAAGGCAGTGTTTCTCAACCCTGGTCCTCAGTGTCCCCCCTGTAGCAGAGACATGTTTTCCATGTCTGCTACAGCACACCTGGTTCACATATTTGCATTGCCTCCTTAGAATGACATCAAGTGCTGCAGAAGCCTGTTGATCACTCATTCATTTAAGTCAAGTGTGTGGCAGCAGAGAAACAACGTTGTTGGAAACGGCAACATAGAAAACATGCAGGAGAGGGGGTTCTGAGGACAAGGGTTGAGAAACACTGATCTACGGCTTAGAAAGACAGTTTACCTTAAAGTGTTCTAAAATCCTTATAGTAATGTACTCATTATGCACCGTTTTCATTCCTTAAAGTCTTAAAAGCGTTATAACAATTTGCACGGAAAATGTTTGAGAAGTCTCAGTGAAGGTTCTGAGTACCTTATTCACAAGGATATAAAATCCTAGAGTGTGTAAGGATTTTCCTGTAGACGGTGGACTAGTGATAGTTTTATAAAAGCATGGCACTATATTGAACACTAATGATCACAATATCCCACTGCAATGACTGAAAATATATTTTAGATTGCACAAACAGCAAACTGTTCCATTCCTTACAGTATACATAATGGGACTAAGGCCCTGTCCACACGTAGCTGGGGATCTGCCAAAACGTAGATATTTTTCTACGTTTTGGCCTGTCATCCACACGAAAACGGAGTTTTTTCACACGAAAACGGATCTTTTTAAAAACTCCGGCCAAAGTGAAGATCTGCGTTTTCTCCGTTTTGGGTGTCTGCGTGTGGACAGACAAAACCGGAGTTTTAAGGTCTGCAACGTCACTTTCTGCTACAAAAAATGCTGACATCACGTTTGCGACCTGTGTTTACACTAGCCAGCATCACGGAAGCCTTCAGAGCTGCGCTCTGTCACTACCCGATCCATCAATTGTCCAAGCGCTTTCTGCTTGTTTGTTTTTGCAAGCGGAATTACTGCTCCTTGCGGAAGACCACAGACGAAGGACGAGGTTAAGAACGGGGGAAGTACCGCCGCCTACAGGTCTGGCATGTCTTTAACAACGTATTTATCCGGGTACGTGTGGACAGAGTTTGTTTTTAAAACGAGGTGGTGTGGATGCAAGTTTTTGGAGGGGCGGATATTCGTTTTCAAAAAACCCCGGCTAAGTGTGGACTAGGCCTAAGTGGGTGTAAAAAGTGAATGTGTTCTTTATTGTAGGAACATTCTTTAGAAGTACCTTGTTTCACCAAAACTAACTTTGAAATCCATGTAATCACATTTCACACAAAGATACATTTGTTCAAGATTAATTTTGTGCAATTAATCCTTATTAGGCTGTCAAAATTATCTAAAAAGTTGAGTTCAAATAAAAAAAGAAAAGAATCTTTTATATAGTGCCTCAAGATAAAAATCACGATGCACTTCATAAAAACAAAAAATGTAAAGTATAACAAAGATGTTTAAAAGATGATTAAGATATGTTAAAAAAGACAAAAATAAAACATGTCAGTGATTCAAAAATGTAATGAAAGGGAGAGAGGGAAATGGGTGGCTCGTGGGAAAGGCAGAATAGGTAGAAAAGGCAGAAAAAGAGAGGGTGGTGATGTGATGTGGCGCTATATAAATAAACTTGAATTGTATTGAATGAAGGTCAGGCAAAAGCCAGCCTGAACAAGTGAGTTTTCAGCTGCTTTTTACAGGGGACCACAGAGTCCACTGATCTCAGGCTCAGGGGGAGAGAGTTCCAGAGTCTGGGGGCCACAGCAGCAGATGATCTGTTACCTTTGGTCTAGTGCACTGCACAACCTGTAGGCTTTGGTCACTGAACCTTAGAGATGTGCTGGGGGTGTAGATCACCTATGTATGATAGAAGGTGACTAGCAGCCAGTGAAGCTGGAGGAGAAGTGGGGTGATGTGAGTGTAGTTTGATGATTTGGTCAGAAACCAATCACATGCATTTTAAACCACTGTTGACAGTTGAGGGAGGTGTTGCTCAGACAAGTGAAAACCGAGTTGCAGTAGTCTAACCCCTTCTTTCCACAGGAGCCGTCAGCAGCACGTTACTGCAGCAGCACGTCTTGCTCGCGTAAGCTGCTGCTTGGCCCTTCCCACGAGACGCGAAGCAGCAGGGGAGCAGCTGTCACCGACAGAGCATGAAGTCACACGAGTGACTTCGTCAGTAAACACAACAACAAGCAGGAGAAAATTACAACATGGCTCCAAAAGGTTTGTGTTTTATGTTCTGTTTGTTTTATAATCGCCAATACGGACCTGAAAAACAAAGGAGACCCGCTAGCTAGGTGATAACTCTCACGGGGCTGCAGTTAGTAACTTTTTTTAAAGTAAAGCAACCGGAAGGCAGTACGTTTCTTTATTCTGAAAATCTCGGGAGCGTTGCTCCGTTTCCGCGTCAGATTTTGTGTCTTTCCTTCCCCAAAAATGTCGAACTTGACCCGTTTTAGAGGCGTCGCGCATAGAAAATAGAACTGGCCCCTGAGAAGCGGCCGACTCGCGCTGCTGACGGCTCCGGTGGACAAGGTTCTGTTGACCACAGCAGTTCCTATCAGCAGCTAAGACATGCTGCTGCAGTAACGTGCTGCTGACGGCTCCGTTGGAAAAGGTTCTGTTGACCACAGCGGTTCCTATCAGCAGCTATGACATGCTGCCGCAGTAACGTGCTGCTGACGGCTCCGGTGGAAAAGGTTCTGTTGACCACAGCGGTTCCTATCAGCAGCTATGACGTGCTGCTGCAGTAACGTGCTGCTGACGGCTCCGGTGGAAAGAAGGGGTAAGCTTGAGGAGATGAAGGAGTGGATAACAATCTCAAGTTCAGAGCGGGACAGAAGGTGGTACACAGCTTAGCAATGACTATGTTTACATGCAGCCAATATCCGGGTTATGATCGGGTTAAGGTCGGTATTCGGGTTTCTGAGTTGATCAGAATAACCTGTTTACAATCACAAATAGAAAGAGTTACCCCTAACTTGCATAACCCGATGTAAATGCGGACGTTGGGGTAGCGTCAGGACGTGTGGACTACGTCCAGACGCAATATGCGTCATTTCCGGTTCTTCTCGTTCCGGTATCCGTGAAAACAACAACATGTTTCCCAGTTCAGAAGAGATAGCGACCGCGTTTGTTTGCGCTTTAGTTTCCTCGTCACTCCGAAAGTGTGGTGCTGTGCTGCGACTCGCCATGTTGCTCCCAACTTGTTGTTTACTTCCGGTGTTCTGGTGCATACAAGACGTCTCGCTACTCAAAAGACCAAGATTCCTTGCGAACAGAGCATGCGCAGAACACACACTTTGATGGGGATATCCTGGTATGCGTTTACACGACCAAACATTCGGGTTAGAAAAGGGTTACCCCAGGTGTAGTATGAGCATATCCGGGTTTCTGGCAGTGTTTACATGGACCTGCGGAACCGGGTTATTGTGAATATTCAGGTTTTAAAAGGGTTACTGGCTGCATGTAAACGCACTGATTGTTCCTGAGATGAAAGACGGAAGAGCCAACAAGAGAACTGACATGAGAATCCAGGGTGAGAGCTGGGTGAAGGACCACACCAAGATTCTGGACAGAGGGTAAGGTGTGAGAAGCAAGCTTTTTTATTTTTATTTTTTTTAACCTTTATTTAACCAGGATATAGACCCATTGAGGTTAAGAACCTGTTTTACAAGGGTGTCCTGACCAAGAGGCAGCAAAAAATACAAACAGTTACAACGTAATGACAATGATTAAACACTCAACCATGCACTTCAACTGTGAGAGACAGAATGTGAAAAAAATCCATGAATTCACATGGCAGGATTTTTAAAGAATTTATTTGTAAATCAAGGTGGAAAATAAGTATTTGGTCAATAACAAAAATTCAACTCAATACTTTGTAACAAAACCTGTGTTGGCAATAACAGAGGTCAAATGATTACTATAGGTCTTTACCAGGTTTGCACACACAGTAGCTGGTATTTTGGCCCATTCCTCCATGCAGATCTTCTCGAGAGCAGTGATGTTTTGGGGCTGTCGCCGAGCAACACGGACTTTCAACTCCCTCCACAGATTTTCTATGGGGTTGAGGTCTGGAGACTGGCTAGGCCACTCCAGGACTTTCAAATGCTTCTTACGGAGCCACTCCTTTGTTGCCCGGGCGGTGTGTTTGGGGTCATTGTCGTGTTGGAAGACCCAGCCACGTTTCATCTTCAAAGCTCTCACTGATGGAAGGTTTTGGCTCAGAATCTCACAATACATGGCCCCATTCATTCTTTCCTTAACACGGATCAGTCGTCCTGTGCCCTTAGCAGAAAAACAGCCCCAAAGCATGATGTTCCCACCCCCGTGCTTCACAGTAGGTATGGTGTTCTTGGGATGCAACTTAGTATTCTTATTCCTCCAAACACGATGAGCTGAGTTTATACCAAAAAGTTCTACTTTGGTTTCATCGGACCACATGACATTCTCCCAATCCTCTGCTGTATCATCCATGTGCTCTCTAGCAAACTTCAGACGGGCCTGGACATGCACTGGCTTCAGCAGTGGAACACGTCTGGCACTGCAGGATTTGATTCCCTGCCGTTGTAGTGTGTTACTGATGGTGACCTTTGTTGCTGTGGTCCCAGCTCTCTGCAGATCATTCACCAGGTCCCCCTGGGTGGTTCTGGGATTCTTGCTCACCGTTCTCATGATCATTTTGAC